GAAAAAATAACCAACTGTAAAATTAATAATTAATAATTAATGCGGTTTATTTCCAAGCCAACTGTGAGTGACCAAGGCCTGGAGAAGAGGCATACATGCCTTTTCTCGGGATGATCATGTACAGAGGTTCCTTTTATTTGTTTTTGAGATTGACAGACAACGTTTAGTGAAAAGATTTTCCATTGGTCTGGTCCAAAAAGGTGAGACATGTAGAAGTGGGGGCTTGTAGGTTATAGGTGGGTTCCACAGTTCTTAGGTTGGTGATTGGAAGGGAAGATCTGTGTCTTGGGAAGAGATTAAAAAGAAAGACTTAATCCACATCTCAAGGAAAAGAGAAGTTCTGTGTCTTGGGAAGAGATAAGCACAAGAATATACAGTAATCGGTTGAAATATACATCTCACAGATACTATGCCAGGGACAGGATATAGGGAGAACCCTGTTAATAGAAAATAAATGGTCTGTTAATGTTTGTGACATGACTTCCCCAGTCCCTTTTGAAAAGATTTTGGAAAAATAGGAAAAGTAGTCAGACTTCTGTCCACAGTTAAAAAATAATTGAAATTTATGCATAGTTCTTTCATATCATTTTTAATCAACTTCTAAAATATGCATGTGCGTGCATGCCCAAGATCCTGAGAGGAGAATGGAGGAGAAGGGATTGTGGCATGGCCATCCCCCCCGAGGGATGATTTCTTCCTTTCTATCTCTGTCTTTCTCTGTCTTTCTTTTTGGTGAGCCACACTTCCCTAAAGGAAAAAAAAAAAAAAAAAAAAAAGATCCCTTTTATTTACGCTTACAAGAGCCACTCAGTTTGAATGTGCTAATATTTCCTTATAATTAGACTCTGGTTTTGTAGCTTTGGCAGAATAACACAAAAGTAGTCTTGTTTTCTCATTTTATCCATCCGTCAGTATCTCATTTTACAGCATCTTATTACTGATGATGTTCATTTTGTGGACAGAAGTCTGACTACTTTTCCTATTTTCCAAAATCTTTTCAAAAGGGACTGGGGAAGTCATGCCACAAACATTAACAGACCATTTATTTTCTATTAACAGGATTCTTCCTACCTCCTGTCCCTGGCATAGTATCTTTGAGATGTATATTTCAACCCATTACTTTATATTCTTGTGCTTATCTCTTCCCAAGACACAGAACTTCCCTTTTCCTTGAGATGTAGATTAAGCCTTTCTTTAACTAAGACACAGATCTTCCCTTCCAATCACCGACCTAAGAACCTAAGAATCATGGAACCCACCTATAACCTACAAGCTCCCCCCTCCCGCTTCTACATGTCCCGCCTTTTTGGACCAGACCAATGGAAAATCTTTTCATTAAATATTGTCTGTCAATCTCTAAAACAAATAAAAGGAACCCCTGTACATGATCACCCCGAGAAAAGGCATGTATGCCTCTTCTCCGGGCCTAGGTCACTCACAGTTGGCTTGGAAATAAACCGCATTAATTATTAATTATTAATTTTACAGTTGGTTATTTTTTCTGTTGACAATTTTGATCATTTAATTGGGGTTTTATGTGCCAAGCTTCTCTATTATAAAATTACTTTTTCATTCTTTTTAAAATTATTACAAGTTTCTGAAAAGGTACACCTTAAGAAAAGAAATATTTTTTATCACATTTTCAATGTATTCACATATTTATTTAAGTCGGCAGGGGTTTTGGAGGTTTGTTCATTTTGGGTTTTATTCAATGGGATTTAATCTACTAATATTGATATAGAGTGACCAGAGTTATCAAGCAAGCTAAGCTAATAACCACCTGTGCCCCACGGGCTAGTTGTCCTTCCCCAAACTATGGAACCTGAAGCCCTGAGCAACACAGACTTCTTGCTTCTTCTTGCTTCTCGGCCCCTTCCATATTAGGGCAGATTCTGAGCTCCTCCTTCAATAGGACACTCTTAGCATGTGGAGACTTGCCCTCCCTGTCCAACTCTCAGGGAGGGCCAGAGATTCAGAGGTTAACTCTTCCATGCCTGCCTGCATAGTAAACAATCCTCCTAATCTCTCTGAGTGCTGTTTTTCCTTTCTCGGCCTCCAGTTTTCTACAGCAATATAACTCTGTATTTTGATTCTCAATTACTTCTGGTTTAACTAGTAGAAGCCCCTTTAAACTGGTTTTCTTGGGGCCAGCTGTGACATGGTGGTTAAGGCACTAGACTCCTACACAGCCGACTGCACTTCAATTCCCAGACCCAGTGACTTAAGATTCACATCTGGTGTGTGTATATGTATGCATGCCCAGAATCCAGAGAGGAAAATAGAGGGGAAGGAATTCCTGCATGGCCTTCACCCCAGGGGGTGATTTCTCCCTTTCTCTCTCTGTATCTGTCTGTCTCTCTCTGGTTAGTACACTTGCCTTATGGCAAAAACGTAAAATAAAAATAAGATAAATTGACTTTCTTTTTAACATATCGTTATTTTTAAAGGACTTTCTTATTTTCTAGCAAAAAAAAAAGATCATATTTAACTAGATAATACTAGATAATTCTATGGGTTTTTTTCTTTTTTTTTTTAGAAATTTTTGCTATAGGGCATGTGTGCTTGCCAGAGAAATAGAGACAGAGAGACAGAAAGCAAGAAATCACCCTCAGGGAGTGGGGTGGGGGGAATGGCCATGCTAAAATCCTGTTTCTTCTATTCTCTCAGGAGTTTGGACACACATGCACACACTTGCAGCGTTAGTCTCAAGCTCCAGGGTCTAGGACTTGAACTGGTTGCCCATGTAGGAGTCCAGTGCCTTAACTACAATGCCACCTGCTGGCCCCAATAATTCAATAATTTTGCTTTGCCATTTACATTAGAAGGCACAGGTGACTTACAATTTCTGTATTTTTCATCAGGTTATTTTTGTTTTGTTATTCCAGCTACTGATTGCATTTTAAATCCTAATTCTATTATTAACATGTTAATGATCCTCTCTTTACTCCTGCCAGTGTTCTGTTGACTCCCGAGGTTTTGGCTGCAATGTGTATCTAAAGATCATGAATAAACTATAGTATGATGTATTCATAAAAAGAACCAGTTGCAATCCAACAGACTTCTGATCAATATTATTAATGCTATTCATTAAAATAATAGCACAACAAGAGCTATTTATCTAGCCTCCACTCTGTCAGGCTTTATGTTTGCCCATATTTTATTTATATTCATATTCAACAGAAATTGTAATCGAGGAGTTGTTATGTGAACTCTTATAGAAACTCTGTAAACAATGTAGTATTG